TGGCCAATATCTACATTTCCGCAAGCCATCTCTGAAACAGAGAAATTATACTATCAGTCCGATTCATTTGTCATCGACCAACTTGACTATTCTCTCGGCATTTTTGCTGGTGATCTCAACAGATTTGATACTACTTTATACACAGATCTCAAGTTGCAAAAGGTGCACTCCTCACCAGACTTGAAGCAATCCAGAAACGTTATATTCGTCAACAATGTGAAGCCGTCTTGTGTGTGCAATCAGGTATCGATTGATGGATCTGACCACTCAAAGGTCAAGTTATCTCCTGTCGTCTATAGCCACCTAAATCATATGCAGATTACTCGCTGTAAAGATCGCAGGCTTAAAAGAAAACAATGTTCATTTCAGAAAATATATAAACTACGAAAAATGATTGCATGCACAGACTCCAGTATATGCTTTGATATTGATATATCTACGTATTGCGACAAGTTCACGAGTTAGTTCAAATTCTGTTTTGATACCTGCTGTCCTCTGGGAAGCACTAGTATTTATATGGATCGACTTTTATTTCCGCGCCTAAGACGCTTACATAGACACAAAGAGAAAGTGTCCAAAGGGAAAGAGCCCGCTGCAGTTAAATCTTATTCTATTTTTATCAAGGCAGAGTTGCGCCCGCTAAACCCGATCCTACCCAGAAACAATATCCGTCAGGAGGTTTGGCGGTGTCGAATCCAGAGGTAGAACTTGTTTCTTCAATGCTAACTCCAGTTCTCACCCCTCACATCCCCGACTGGACAAGCCCACGATCTGTTTATCAGCCATTGACAGAAATATAGTGTACAATAAACTGCTGCAGCCAGATTTCAACAAGGCAAGTGGATCGGACGAACAGTTTTCCGTTGTCCTAAGATTGTGTGCTGATTCTTTGACGCAACATCCTGCTGACCTGTACACGTTGCGCATCAAAAAGTGTAAAATTGCAGACTGCTGGAGAAGTGCTAGAATTACACTAGTGTCAAAGAAAGGTTCAAATAGATACCGGCCAATTGCTTGCAGCGCAGCAAACGAAGTTCTTCTGGAAGATTATTCTTGAAAAGATGTTGCTTCTAACTCATTCAGATGATTCGCTCACGTTCGCTTATCGTAGCTTGAGGTCTACTCAAGAAGCACTAGCCTGTTGTACATTCAGTGCTGGTATCACTAGATAATAAGATCAAATCCACGGGAATATGTTTTCTCGACTGGAGTAATGTTTTTAGCAGTGTAAACCGTAAACATCTTTTGAGAGACTTACATGATGCTTTAATGCAATTTTCTACCTACCACCTGTTGAGGGACTATTTCACTGGCCGTGTTCAGTTTCCTTGTCTTGGGGGTAAAAGTTACTTGCTGCTCACCATAGTCATCGGATTTCAAGGTATCATCCTGTCCCCATACCTTGCTTTTACTTACGTTGCCTTATTATTTTCCTTGGTGTAGCGATACTGCAGATGTAGTTAGCTTGGGTATCCAAAATCCGACCGCAGTTTCATCAAACAAATTATAGGTCTGCCTGAACAACCCTGCATTGTGGTCCAGAGTTCACCTTTTAGCGCTGAATGCACTAAAAAGCAATGAGGTTCTTTTTTCTCTACATAGAGACCGTCGTTATCAGCAACTTCTCATGGATTACTCTGCACTTCACAAAGATGGTGAGAGATTGCACTCCGCCGCGACAGTGAAGTATCTAGTTTTCACACACAGCTGTGATTTTACTTGGTCACATCATGTGAATACAATTTTCATAAAGTGAGGAGGGTTTGCTCCTACGCTGCCAGTATGAAATCTCCTCCGCTACTTAAAACTGGAATTAATCACAAATTGTGGCTTACCTCACTGAACCTATTGTTCCCCTGCAACAGTTCCTGCTTTCCTAAGGAACCACTTCAAAATCCTAGATAAGTCATTGAGGCAACTGTTTTGACGTAGTGACATTCCAAAGCTTATCCTTGTTGATATTCTTACGTCTATTCATACCAGATTATGCAAAATCTTGCTACAAAAATACTCCACGATGCAAGTCATCTTCTTCATGCAGCACCGTCTGACTGTGTATCAAATTCGTTAACCAGAAAAAAGTATAGATCAATTTATGCTCCTACAAGTGCCTACTATTCAGCTTCAATTCCATATTTGTTGTATTTTGGTGCGACTAGACCTCAGTTGTTTCGTAGCATACAACTTAGTTTGCATTGCAACCATATTTCTGTCCGTGCCACTTATTACCTACTTGGGTATTCAATGTTTTAAGTATTATTATTTTACAATGTTGATGGCGCGGTTATAACATTCACCCTTTTGGGTGTATAAAGCACTTTCTTAAATATAAAAAGGTAATTGAATCAACCAAAGCCTTTGGCTCAAAAGCCTGTCCACAAGGCAGAGGAGGGTGGCAATGTTCCGATTTGTCAGAAATGGACATCATGTCATTTCCAAACCCAATCAGGAGGACCAGGAGACTGAATTTGTCTGACCTATAACCATCGACTAACCTGGTAATGGTGGCTCTCAAGAAGCCCGGGGGCACCACGCAGTATAGTCTAATGGGTCGAAGTGGCACAAAACCGTCGCACTACGCTAACGTCTAGTCTCTTTGCGACCAACACTTGTATTGTCGCGTCAAAGTTGTCTTCCGTTCGGTAGCTTAATGTGCGTTTTGGGAATGTTCGGTTAGGAGTGGTATGCCCGAGAAATACGTAAAGACCATCAACGCGATAGCTGCCAACAACTATGCGACAGGTTCTACTCCCAGCTACACTTGGTGAGCTCAAACAAGGATGAAACGGGTCGTAGAGTGCAGTGCTGGCAGAGAGCAACAACGAAACAGTCAATCACTAAAGTGGTTTGCGCGCGTAGTTTGCGCAGAGTAAGGGTTTATGATAAGTTGCTGCCGACCGTCAATATCTCCAGTGGTGTGTGACAAAGGCCTGTTGTTACCACTTTATACTTCATGGAGATCATCCAAAATTCGTTCAATGTGTTAACTACCTAAGTAGTTGTGTCCACGCCAGTGGAAAAGATGTGATCACGACTCTTATAACAAACGTTTTACACGCTTTTTCTAATCTGAGCCATTTGTGGCGCCGGTGCGAAATCACTCTCATCTTGTAACCTATTGCCTACAATGTGGCGTACATTCGACCTCACTGCACGCTTGTAAAAGTTGGCCGATCAGAGCGACAGGCGTAGAGACTAATTACGTTTGAACACCAGTGCCTTAGTAGTTTGGCAATTTGGAACACGTGTGAGCCATAAGCGTGTTCGGCGCCTTGTATTTGGTGCAGGAAGAGCAAATAAAACGCGAAGCACCACTATTTCTCTCACCCAGTCACCGATGGCCGGATCGTGTTATGCACGCCAGAACACTGATTCCCGCGTAGTGCATTGTTTGCGGAACCTGCGTGAAAGAAAGGAAGTTGAGGCCAAGCGATGAGTTCATCAAGAGGAGTAAAGACCCTCACTTCAAAATTGGCTTCGGTTGGATGCGCACTGATCGATAGCTGGTGTCCGAAAGATGATAAACACGTTTGACTGAATATACTCGTTGACATGGCGAAGAGCCGACTCTATGGCGCTTGTGCCGTGAGCTTCGCCTCCACTCTAACAGGCTTAGTATCCCGCTCCAATCAGGATCTCGTCCTCAATGCATGTTAAACAAAGCGTAACATTCTTGTGCCATTTCGCTTTGTTGTTCTCTAACCAGGATGGGTAGTTTAATGAATAGAATTCCAGCGCAAAATTTCCTAGGGACTCAGTTTGAGTACAGAGATAGAATCGACAAGTTGAATTTCTCGTCGCGACATCAGTGGAGTTTACACGAGCAGTGAAATCGTGGTCCACGTACCTGGCGGTTAATCGGGGGCAGTTCAGCAGTCCGACACCTGCTCCGTGACTTAGGGGCCACGCCGATGCCAGTTGAGGAAGACTACATCAAGGAAGAGCGGGGTCTCGAACGCGGAGAGCAGATATCGCAAACTAGACGCTCAAACCACATCAATGTGGTTCTTTAGACATGTCAGAAGTATACCAACACTGCTGCTGTACACATGCTGCACTGTAATGCAGTGGAGAGCAGGGTACGTAGGGTTGAAGATCTTCGGAGCATGTATATTTGGACAAGACAATGAAGCTGAAGCTGGGGCGTCAAGGTGGCAAGTTAGACGCTTGAACACAACACTACAGGCAGGGGAAAAAGTTGATCGGATACTGTATGAAACTGGGCAGGCAAGCAGGATTCATGTATGTACCAAGACACATAGTTATTAGAAAAAGCCTCTAAGCAAGGACAGTGTGCATGAGTGGAGAGGGGGTGACGAACAGCAAGCAATAAGAAGACAACTTAGAGGGTGACGAAAAGGTGAGATATTTGGTGCAGCGAAACAGCAGCTTAACATGTTGTAACGTTTTATGCACCTCTAGAACGCATACAGATAAAAAGGGAGTGTCTTCAGGTGCGTCAGGTGAACACCCGAGAGAGACAGCTTCCGGGAAGTGTACCGGTTTCAGCTAGTTCTATAAAACTGCTTGCCCTACGCATCATTTACATACTCTGGAAGCACTCCTAGTAGGCTTGTAAGCTAGAAGATAGAGATGTGGATGATAGTCTTCCTCCAACCTAGGTTTGGATGTATGCTAATGTCTCAACCAAGTTACAACTATGGTTTGCTCTTGAATGTCAATCTGTTCCTGAATCCCCAGTCGCGAAGTTCGAAAACGGTAGAGTTATCTGCTTCATACCCCAAGGCTAAAGACAATTACTGAGATAATGATGGACAATCTTAGGCATAAATAAGGAAAGCAGCCGTGAAACACTTATGTTTACCGTGAACAGGAAGCCACACAAGCCATGATATAGGTCTGTAAACACCATCAGAACAAAGTAAAAATAAAGGAACGGAATGCGACCAAACCCGATGCACCGGTATTGATATAAACGAAGGTAGAAGAGAAAGAACACACGACAAGAGCAGCAAACGGACGATTAAGAACATCAGGAGTTAATAAGAGTGTAGACGAAATTCCAGATGGACCGGTAAAAAACCACCTTGAGGAAACGGTAAATGAGAAAACTCACCATTTGAAGCAACAGATGAAGCCGGTGAGGCCAGATGGTTAGATGTAAGGAGAGGAGTGTCTGATGTGTTGATAGTGAGAACCTGAGAAGAAGCCACTGTAGCATCCAGAGTGGCAACTTCAGATGCGGAGACAGAAACTGAAGAAACGGTGGTGTCGATTGAGCGGTCGAACGAAATTTGTTTCGCGAGGTCAGTTGTATCATTTAAGTGGGCGGAGAATCTGGTAGTGGAAAAGAAAAAGGGTAAGCTGGACAAGCTGGTGCTCAGAGAAGTTCAACAACAAGTGGGCAGAACAAAGGCTACGGGTGTGAATAGGTTCCCACAAAAAATGACATAAAGCATAGTTAACCCTCTTGTAGAACAGTGAAAGGTAAACGGTGGTGGCGTGCTAAATCGCATTACATGAGTGTATAATGAATGACGAAGTCAGCATCATCATGACTGTGTACTTGTTCCTCCCCACAATCATGCACGAGTGCTGTGCGCGTCATAAAATCAAAAATAACACTAGCTATAAGAGAGAAAGTAGCCATAGTTGAGTGGGCTAGGGCACCACTAGGTCACTAAATATGGACGGCACGATCGAGATTACGAATCAAATTCTGGCACAAAAGACTAAATGCGAGCAGAGGTTTGGAGACCCATGCACCGCGCGTATCACATACATGCGGTAGCACATTGGCGTCACTAAGCGCTACCACAAATTCAACTCCGAGATTACATCCGATCAACAACTGTTAGTGATTACGACAAAAAACATAAGTAACTGGCCTCCACACACGAGTGGCATGGTATTTACTATGAAAAAGTAATCCCTGGGTAACCAGATGTATAACTTCATGTTAGCAAGCAGGTTAAATGCTTCTAGATTAGCCGTCAAGTACACCGCGTTAGAAGAAATTTGAAAATCGAGCCCAGCTCCCCAAGTTCAGTTAGGTAAGAAACTGAAACCAAGCAGTACGTCGCGCAAGGTTGCAAAATTGTCCTGTAGTAAGGAAGTGCATAGGCCACGCGCACAAAGAACCACCCTGAGTCATTTTGCAGGATCGAATCGCCAGTTAGTACCCTACTTTGGGATTTAGCTGTTAGTTCGTCAATTGACAATACTTCAACATGTTCACAGTTGCTTTCAGACCGGCGAACGGGATACAAAGACTTTTGATGCTTTACTTCGAACGAATACTCGACAAGTAACACATTTCAATGTCGGCCTGACAGGTGGAAAGGTGGTACACAAACTTAAGGACCTGGTATTCTTGTAACTAAAATGCCACACTGAAATTTTGGCCTTTAGTAGTCATGGAACTTGATGAGTCACCGCTATAGCTACATTGTGCAGCACGAATCGATGAGTCTTTCAAGGACCATTTCTGATAAGGCGTGTCGAATCTAACAAAGCACTCTACAACCAAATATGTCGTTCAGTAGTGCGAAGATTAAAGTGTATGCGCAGTCATTAAACAAAGAATGAAATGCGCCGTTTGCCAAAGCTGAAATGGCATTGACATGATGGTGACACGTTCTATTATCACTGTGCATATGGTGAGCGTGTCAATCTTAGCATTACTGTAACCGCAAATCTCTATTAGAAGTGGTTTTATTCACATCGTGACGCACACTTATCAATCCGCATAGTGACCACGGACCGCGTTGATGTGCAGTGATCAATTGGAAAAGGTCAGTCGATGACATGTGAGATTATGAACTTTCCGCTAATAAGAAGGCCAACGGAACCAAAGATCGCAAAGATCACGCTTATCCGCATGCAACGGTTAATGCATGATTTTATTAGAATGGAAACTCATCACTCATTAGCTACTTATTGGTTAGACGATGGTGCTAAGTAGCAAGTACGATAGCCCGGTGAGTAGGTAGAATTCTCGTCGTCAAAAGACTAGGGTTGTGAACGTTGAAAAATAACGACGTCGTACCAGAATAGCTTAATGTTTAGAATACATAGTCGTCAATGAAACAATGCAAAAAAGGAAGACACGGATGGTCGTCCGGCTAGTTAGGCAAAAACTGGAATTCTTGTTAGTTGAACAACGGCAACCACAAAAAGAGGAAGTGACTAGATGGTTAGTTTGAAGTTCTTGTTGTGTGAATGTAGACCGCGATTCACAATGAAGTGAACCTTGGCCAATGCGGTCACTGGGGCCGCAGAAGAATCGGATGTTTTCCACACGAAAACATTGCACATCACAACGCGTTTCAACCTAATTTCATTTCATCAGGTGAAAGTCACTGGAATATTAGCTAAAGCCTCTATTCCTTTGGCTACCAAGTCAGGATAGACAACGCTTGGCCCAACGGTTAATTAATGATTGGAGGGGCATTCTGAAATACTTGTTGTGCGTAGCCAAAGGGGTAGAGGTTCGGTTAAGATTCCAATGGTTCCAGCTTTGAGGCCCGCTATCCATTTGATATGCATTGAGGTCAAAAAGAGAAAGTGCTTAAAAACGCCCTACTACTTACTAATAGTTAGTAGTCGTGCGAAGCACGGCAACTGAATCGTAGTCAAGAGGCCATGGGGATCAAGATGTAACACGCAATAATCTCATGAAGGGTGGCGGCTACACTAGTTAACAGACCAGTATAGCATGCCAACCCCCAACCATAGCTGCGGCTAAAATCCTGTGTTTAATGTTTGTAGGACCCGAGAGGAATGTGTAAGTAGGACAAATTTCAACAAGAAAGCTAGCCATTGCTGAATGACGTAACCTTCTGGGGACTGTAGGATTGCCTATCAAGTTTGTTCCGAAAGATATTTGCACTGAGAAGCGTTGTAGCACAATCCTTTCCAACACAATAGAACGAAGGCAGAAAAAGTCGTCGAGAAACTGCTTTACGCAATTGGGGATGGTGAGTATTCATTTACACACAAGATCTCAGAAAGGTATCAAAAGACAAATCGATTATGAAACAGTATTGTGAAAATCGGTCTAATAAAGGACAAATCGGAACGCCATCATATTCCGAATAGGTTGGTTGGTTCTATGACAACAGTTAGGGTCTAGCAAAGCATACGATAGATAAGGGATGACCCATGAGCGGTGGGCACGTGTGCAAGCGTACATCAAATTGCACTTCAGTCAAGTAGGTTGACAAAGATTTAGATATAACGTTATGAAGAGGAGGAGCTGCATTGACCAGTATTTTTGACGCCAGATTCTTACAAGACGTGATATGTGTAGACAGAAGTTGTTTGAGGAAAGCAGGCATCGGAAATTCGCTAGATCGGGATAAGCGTCGTAATGACCTGTAATCCAGAAGACTCGGAAAAACACAGGGAAGAACGAATGCATTGACAGAACGCAGTATTAAATCACAAAGGAGAGAAAAGACTCACGGCTGAGAGGCGTAGAACGACAACCTGACTTTCGTGAATGATCCATTTACATGAACTGTTCAAGATAAACGGTAGTTCAGTGCCACACTTAGGTACTTCAGTGATTTAGAAGTGTGCAGTCTATCGCCGCCATGATGGAGCTCAGGGTATTGCGTGAAATACTGCTCATACCTGGCTCCTTCGTGTAGCAAAAGGAGATCAGAACTTTAATGCGTTGTGGCAGATTATGAGTGTTGGAATAAAAGCTGAGACCGTTTAGGATGTCTTGCAACCTGACAGCAATGGGTGATTCAGTGATATTCAGGACATTGTCGTAAGCATACTTTCATAGGGTCGCTTTTTCAAGGACCGGTATTGAACTGACGTATGAAGAAGAGGAACAGAATTGCATTTTAAAGGAGACCGGAGTTGGTGAGTAGTGGGGAAGAGCATCTGCTACCGAGTGCAGCAAAATAATCACTCAGCAAATGGACAACAGCGAAAGGTATTTCTTGAATTAGTAAATCTTTTAGCGGCAACTCGCGGTTTACAAAGCCGAAGGCATTGTCATAGATGAAAACACATTCGAGTGAACTTGTCCGTGTTGTCAACCGATGAGAGTACAGAAGGTACTGCATCTAGAGTAGACTTAGTACTACGGGAGACGTATTGAAGGGGCTCAACAGGGAACGTTTGCGACAACATCATTTCAAGGATGATTTGCAACAGAACCACAAAAGCAATAGAAGTGTAAGCAGTTGGTCGATATTTGCTAGATCATTTTGGCATTGATATAATATCGATATATCTCCAGCAATCAAAGATGATGTTGCAGCATAGGTGATGTGTATGCAGACGCTATATGTGTTGCCAAAAAGGTCCACAATCTTTGAGTATAACGGGAGATAATCTGTTCGGAGCACTAGCTTTACCGGAACGACATCAATATCACTACACATTAGCTGGAGGTGAGAAACACACTTTAATCATTGTGCCCCAATACAAAAAGATGAGATATATGAAAGTGATATACTAATTACAGGATACAAAAAAACCGCAGGTAACATACTGCTTAGCAACATTTATGCTTCAAGACAAAGATCGAGATTGGAGGAGGATAAGCAAAATGGGGAAAGAAAAAGAAACTCACAATAAGGCTCTTTACCACGTCAAGAAGTGCATCAAACCAGACGTGTTCATCATCATTAGGACTCCACCCTGGCAGTCTGGAGACACCAACCGGCGCCAACTTCGAAATGAGAGCATTTATTCCTTTTGAACAAGTCTTCGTTTGACCTCCCCTCCTATTTGTCCAACCACACCGCAGGCGCTCAAACAACCCACGTTGCGAATGTTGGTGTGCTGCCATGCGCAACACGTGGCCCAGCCATCGGAGCCTGGTAGGTAATATACCAGTGTTGAGCGTTTCACCCGCTCATCCTGCGCCAAATATACCACACCGAACACGCACATTGCTCACCCGGTGTTCCTACCAGACAAGAGCTAAGCTGTGAAGGAAGCGATGATCGAAGGTGACCAGCATCTTTATGTTTGTCAACTTGATGGATTGTTTCGCAACCATATAAGAGGGTTGGACGGAAGGCTGCATTGTAGACTGCCTTTCAGGGTGAGAGTGATGTCGCGCCGGCGTTGCAGGTGGCAGAGACTGGCAAAATCGCCACGAGCATTTTCCATGCGGATTGCGATCTCATCTTCACGCCACTGGCGCTAACATAACTGCCAAGGTACTTGATTTTATGAACGACTTCTAACTGATCCCTGTCAAGGGTCCGCGTAGAGGTGGGTCCCTACCAAACGAAAACAACTTTGCATTTCGAAGGAGCAAAGCACAGTCCGAAACGACTGAGGGCCAATGCATTATTTGGCAAGTT